GGCTGGGGACCCCCTGGCCGCCCCCAACCCCTGCGTGGTGCTGAAGCAGCTGGTTGAAGGGCAGTGGAGCGAGGTACGGGGGCTCCCAGCCATGCCCTGCTCCGGGGACCCCTGCCCTTGCGTCTCCCCCTTGGGCTGCCCCACAGTCCCCCCTTCTCAGAGGAAATTGGGGGACCCCCCGGCACCCCTTGATTTCACCCTTTCCCCACTTCTCTCTGCTCCAGCCTCCTGCCTCTTGGCCTCCAAACTCTCTGCCCAAGAGAGAGGATGTGCTCCCCCTTAAGCCACCTTCCCAAGGGGGGGCTCCCACAGTGTGCCCCCCTCCCCCTCAGCATCCCCTGAACCTCCTCCCGATCCCCACTCCCATAGGTGGGGCGCACCGAGACCATGCACGGCAGCCTGAACCCCGTCTTCTCCCACGTCTTCCTGCTGGACTACTTCTTCGAGGAGATGCAGGCCTTCTGCTTCGAAGCCTACAGTGCCAGCGCTGAGGATGGGGGGGTCGAGGAGGACACCTTCCTGGGGGCAGCGGAGTGGTCCCTGGGCCAGGTGGGGAAATGAAGTATACCCCCTCCGGTAACCCTACCCCATATGCCTGGGGATAAGGGGTATGCCCCAGAGAGCCATAACCCTACCCCTAACCCTGGGGACGTGGGGTATACCCCTGACAGCCATAACCCTACCCCTAACCCTGGGGATGTGGGGTATACTCCTGACAGCCATAACCCTAACCCTGGGGATGTGGGGTATACCCCTGATAACCATAACCCTACCCCTAACCCTGGGGACGTGGGGTATACCCCTGATAACCATGACCCTACCCCTAATCCCGGGGACGTGGGGTATACCCCTGATAACCATGACCCTACCCCTAACCCCGGAGATGTGGGGTATACCCCTGATAACCATAACCCTACCCCTAATCCCAGGGACGTGGGGTATACCCCTGATAACCATGACCCTACCCCTAACCCCGGAGATGTGGGATATATCCCTGATAACCATAACCCTACCCCTAACCCTGGGGACGTGGGGTATACTCCTGACAGCCATAACCCTACCCCTAACCCTGGGGATGAGGTACACCCCTGATAACCATAACCCTACCCCAAATCCTGGGTTACCCCTAGTAACTCTACCCTTAGCCCTGGGGACATGGGTATACCTCTGGCCATGGGAGAGGCGGGGATGCGGGATAACCCCCTTGGATACCCACGACCTCTAGGCCCACCCCAGGCCATGGCTGGAGGGGGGACAGGCCCCTGCTAACCGCAGCCAAACCGGAACCCTGGGATCCCTGGTGTTTGCCCCGCGTCAGACTTAGCCCCTAACTCTCGCCTGCGCCCGGTGCCCCCTCGCCCACCTCCCCCCTAGCGCTCCCAGCCAGCGGCACCAGAACCCGACCGACGGGCCGCCCTCCCCAGTGCCCCTGCCCTGCCTGCCCTC